GAAAATGCGGGAAGGGGGGGGGAATGGTATAAGGAGAGCGGGAAATGCATTATAAAATCTTTGTGAAGAAACAATCTCAAGAACTGACGAGGGTCAACCCAGACCGAAATATGTTTTCAATAAATGTGGAACTAACATCTACTTTTTTACTCTACATGGTTTGGTCCATCACCATCACTGAATTTTAAATCCAGAATTGAGTTTCCCGACCTAATATTAATGACTTTAGACACCCCACATGGACCTATCACAAAGTTTTTGAAAAAAAAGCCCTAAAAAAGAGGGAAAAATGTGGGGGAAAATTATTTTTTCTCCATTCTGGTGTTTGATTCAAAAATTAGATCACAATTCAGGTCTGCATGCAAAAAATTCAGAGAGAAGTCTCTAGTAATAAAGTCGGAAGGCTTCTTTGCCTTTGGGAGGGAAAATGCGGGACAGGGGGGGGGAGGAAATAGTATAAGGATAGGGGGAAATGGATTATAGAGTCAAGAATTGAGTTTCCCGACCCAATATTAATGAATTTAGACACCCCACATAGACCTATCACAAAGTTTTTGAAAAAATGCCCGAAAAATGCGGAAAAAATGAAGGGGAAAATTATTTTTTCCCCACTCTGGTGTTTGATTCAAAAACTAGATCACAATTCGGGCCTGCATGCAAAAAATCAGAGAGAAATCTTTAAAAACGAAGTCAGAAGGCGCCCCCCCTCCCCCACCCTTTGTAGTATGGAAATGTGGACATTCCCCTTTTAAATAAAAAATGTTTAAGTTGAAGACGACTTTTAATCTAATATTCTTGAACTATATGTGCCAAACCAAACCTATTATTTATTTCTCGTTCCTCCAACAATGATAAAACCTTGACGACAGAGAACAACTAATTTCTCTTTAGAAATTTTGTGCTCATTTTTAATTTTTTTTCTTAAGTAATTTCCTAGTGAACAATTTTTGGACCACCCCCCCCTCCTATCAATTTTGTACACGGGTCTGACAGGAAGTTTCTTAACTTAACCTAACCCGTGGCCGCAGCGCTCGGCCCCCTGGCCCATCCTAGCCGCAGCGCTCGGCCCAGAAAGTGTCTTAACCTAACCTAACCCTAAATAACAAAAAAATAAATAATAATAAATTCGCTGAAAAATAAATGGTCATGTACAAAATTGATAGGAGGGGGGG